TTAAGCAGGAGACCTTCAAAATTTTTCAAGTTTACATTGGGCACCATTTTTTCTGTCAGAAGACAGAAATGGAGGATGCATCAACAAAGATAATTTGGAAGACTGTCAGAAAGTATCTCTGGATCTGCCCCTGTTAAGAGTTTAATGCATGAAGTATAGACAAAATCTAGGTTTAGCCAGTAATTTCAAAGTAGTAGGGGATGGGGAGGGAAAGGAGAGGTATCTAAAAAGATGGACCTTTTTCCCCCATTTGTTGAAAATGTCATAGAACCAAGATCAATTTTTTAATCACAAGGGAGGTTTATTCACAGAAGGCAACAGCCAGTACTGCTTGAGAATAGAACTTCTAATGCTGCTTTTAAGGTCTGAGCAGGAATATTTCAGGTATGTAGATTTATATCACCTTAAAACCTGACCTCCTAAGATTAATTTGATGTGGTAGGTATCTACGGTGCATGCTTTTGCTAGCCACTTTTATAACACCTTTTGTGGTATATATGGGAGAGGAACATGGAACTGACACTTATGGTTCTTGTTTGAAGATGTAGGATTATGGGTGCTTTCCCAGAGATTTAGATCGATCTAACTCCCTGGGGGTCCACGCTAAATTCCAGTCAGCCGAGCGGGCACCATAGTTAATTACCCCCTTACAGCTTTTAGTAGGCGGGACAGACGCTTAAGCCGGCCAAGCTGACAGTAATCTAGTGAGACTCCCCACAGGTATAGATCGATCTAAAAATCTATGGAAATGGGGTGTATGATTTATGTCCAGTCTAGATATTGGACAGATACATGTGACATTATTGAAAAAAAGTTGTTCTCCAGCACAAATATTTCCCCCCCAAGTGCTGAATTTATTATAGGTTAGAGAAAAACTGGTATAAAATGTTTTGTTTCTTTTATTGTCTAATTATTAAATGATTATAATTGTGCTTCAAAATTGGTTTACTCAAACGGGAATGAAAATGGTGATGCCAGAAATTTTAACAGGAGTTCAGCTTTGATCTAAATTTACCAAGGGACATGCACGTGTCTGTCTACGTGCATGTGCATGTTTATGCACAATCATACATGTATTTCATACATACATTGTGAACAGAACAAGGATACTGAAAAAAATTCCTGACAGTAAGAGAATAAGAAAAAAAGAGAAAAAATACATTATCATAATTTTTCAACTATGCTAGCAACAAATCCATTTATTGATCAAGCGACCCAGTAAAATATTTATCTCTCGAAGATTTTTTTTTTTCGTTTCATGTGTTAGCAGGTCGTCTTTCCTTGATCTGGCATTTACACTGATGTGTCAATTATATTATCAGGCACACAGGTGTAAGTATTTGTTTGGATGAAAAAATCTATTGAACCAAGTTGAGGTCTATTTTGTTGAATCTTTAGTTCCCTAAAGGAGTATTTGTAACTTTTTTTACAATTGAAAAACTACCCACCCCCACTGTTAAACTGGAAAAAAATAGTAATAAGAATTTTTTTTTTAATTTTTAAGTAGGAGTTTTTTATGTGCTTGTCTATTACATGAAATGACTCTTCATGTGTAACGCAAGTCAGTCTCTTTCCTACAGTCTTTTGATGTGCATATCAAGGAATTGCTTTTAAAAGAATTTCTATTCTCGGCTTTGTCATATCTCCATAACCAACTGCCAGTTTGGCACAATAGCATATCGGGGTTTGTTATAACCAGATTTCTTGAAATTATATTAAGTTTTGAAAAATTTCCAGCACCAAGGGTTATTATACAGACTTTCATTTAAGGCAGGATATTAGCTAGTTACTAGGATTAAAGGTCTTGTGTACATAACAGTTAATTTTTCTCTTTGCTTTAAATCACCATGTGTCATGTGAGTCTGCAGATTCTTCCTTAACATGTGTCTTAATACTTTCTTGTATGTTTGACATTCTTAGGTAAATTCTTTAAAATGTCAATTGTCTAAGACCCCATTCCCATAGATATTTAGATCGACCTATCCCCCTGGGGAGTCTCACTAGATTGGTGTCCACTTAAACAGCTTAAATGTCTGTCCCGCCTACTAAAAACTGTAAGGGGGAAATTAACTGTCGTGCGCGCTCGGCTGACAGCCATTTAGCGTGAAGA